AGGAAACCGGATAAAGATGAAATGCCAGTGTGTTATGAAGTAGCACTGCATATGGTGAAAATGACCTGAAATCAGTAAACTGCACCTGGACTAGGAGGAATTATGAATACCTAATTCCAGAAAATTGGCCTTCCCTGAGAGTACACTGACTCTTTGAACTTGGTATGTCCATTGTACAAATTCCAGCAAGGGAATTGGGTTCCTGCAGGACATGGGGCATCTGAACCAGGCAGACCCTGCACCCACCTATTAAGAGTCTCCTTTCCTTTCAGCTGAGCTGTCACTAGCAGCAAGGGGAAATGTAAGCACCAATGGCTCTGTGAACTGCTACAGAGACCACTGAGGAATACTCCCACCAAGGGGAGAACATGTGCCTTGCCCACAAGCCAGGTGTTCTGTCCTATATCCTTCTAGGTGATCTGATGCCAAGATGGCTTATGGTAGTCTTGTGACTTAGTCTTGTCTTTAGTTGAGCATAAGATGATGATCTCTTGGTGATATCGCAGACGGTTGTCATAAATGGGTTACACTCGCAGACATTCAATTCAATTTGGCCAAGTCACCATGAGCTTAAAGGGATGGGGAGAGAAATGCTCACAAGACATTGATACCTGGGAGGGAGCTGGGGGAGGCTGATCAATCTATGGGCTAATGGAGAAAGCTGTGCAGCCTGTGATAAGAGATAAAAAAGGACCTTAACTAAGCTGCACTGACAGGAATGAGGGGTCCAGACCAAAGCAAGCACTGATATCCGGCTGAGGAAATGTGAATTAGACAAATAATGGTAAACTAACATATTCAGACCCTGTCATTAATGTGAATTAGACAAATAATGGTAACCTAACATATTCGGACCTTGTCATTAATGTTCTGGTATTTAAATTACAGTAATCAACCTTTTGAAATGCTACCCTTCATCAAGAGATTTATCCAAACATTCTATAAAACTACAAGAAAAATAATGGGCCATCTTTTAAGAGGAACAAGAAGGAAAGCTGGTCACTAAGTAACTCCTTACACTCCAATGAATATGTCAAAAACATTAAATTACTAAATGGTCATAACTACAAAAGAAGAACTATAGTAGTGTTTTTGATGAGTGTAAGAACAATAAAATCTTCCCTCTACTTCTTCCAATTATGTATTGGTAACTACTTAGTTTTCATTACATTGAAAGTCAAACTTGAACCTTTACCCAAACCTCAACTCAGTTAAATTTGAGGACATATGGCTAACATGTATATAATCTTTACCTTTGATGTCAACTATATCTTTTACACAAAACTCTGTAAACACCTGGGAAGCATGGCTGTATTCAAAATACATGTTATCCATCCTTTCTACTCGAATTCTGTCATCCCGCACCCTGAAAGAAAAAAATGAAAATTTCAAAGATAACTTTCCATAATCTTGAACTGTGTGTATTTAGGCCTTGGCCTGACTAAAAAAAAATAAAGACCCATTCCTTATTCTCTCCCAAATTAAAAAAAAGAAAAGAAAAGATCTAAAGTTTCCCAGTTAAAAAGTTCCATTTCATAAAATGTAATTATTACTTTTACTACTGGTATATCACCTAGCACACCATGAGTACTTTATATATTTTTTTATCAAGAACTCACTGAAATTAAGGTCAATTACTTTAATAAATACAAAAGGGGACCTTTTCTTCAATTCTATTTACTACAGTGTTATCATTAGCATACATGAGCCTATCAATTTTTTATGTAGTAACTATGCTAAACGCTAATTGATTTTTGTATTGTCTTTGTATGCATTAATATTACCTGTAAAAATATAAAACTGTTTGTCTCTCCTTTATAATATCAACTAGGGGCCCAATGCATGAATTCGTGCACCTTGAAAGGAACTGTGGGCTGCAAAGCTGCATGGGCACAGGGGCGAATCTTGGCCCATCCTCTGCGCCCCTGCCCGGCCCCTCCTGCTGTGCCCCTCCGCCCCCCGCCATCCCCTGTCTGCTGGCAGCCCCGCTCCTGCCACTGCCACTCCCACGTGCTGACAGTGCCAGCCCCATTTGCACCCACAGCAGGTGCAAGTGGGGACGGCACTGGCAGTGGGTGCGAGCAGGGCCGTCACCAGCAGCAGGTGCAAGAGGCGGCTGCTGGCCCCGATCGCCCCTCAGGAGCAGGGGGAGGTGGAGAAGCCCTAAGGGGCAATTGGGACCGGCACCCACTGACGGCGCCAAGTGATCAGGGCTGGCACCAGCACTGGCAGCGGGTGCAAGTGGGGCCGATGCCAGCAGCAGGTGCAAGCACTGGGCAGGACCATGGCGCACAGGAACAAAGAATTTTCAGTAACCACCAGAGGCTGGCCCCAATGACAGTGACCGGAGCCCTGCCTTGGTCTGGCGCAGCTGCTCCACCATCCCACCATGGCCAATGCCCGCCATGTTCTGCGCTCTGCCACCTGCTGCCGACGCCTGCCATGTTCTGTGCGCACCCCCTGGTGATCAGTGCACGTCATAGCGACAGGTTGTCCAGTTGTTCTGCCATTCTGTCTATTTGCATATTAGGATTTTATATATATAGATTCTTCATTTCTTTTTCCTACCTCATTACACTATTGGCTAAGAAGTCCAGGGCTGTGTTGAACAAAAGTAATGCTAACAGGCATCCTTTGTCTTCTTACTGACACTAATGGGGAAAAGTTTCAACTCCTAAGTATAATGTTTGCTGTAGGTTTGGAGATAAATGACTTAGTCTAAGGTTTGGTAAAATTCCCAGTTAGAGTAAAAACTAAAATCTTAGTATAAAGGATTGTTGAATCTTACCTAATGTTCTATCTATATGTGTTAAAATGATCATGTGGTCTCTCTCACTTAATTTCTTAACATATTATTCATATTTTCTGATGCTGAATGACTCGTGGTTTCCTGGGATACAATATCCTTGTCATGTTGTTCCATGTTGCTCAAATAAAGTTATAAACTTGATTTCTTAGTTTTTAATTTTTTCCCAGGAAATCTGTGCCAGCATACCTGGCTCCAAAGGCTCTTTCTGTTCTATTACAAGACTAGACAGGCATAGTGGATTCAGGAAGAAATCTAAGAGGAAGATTTTCTCCCATCTGTGGTGCTGAAGAAGGATTTTTCCACCTTTATCTACTGGAGAGGGAGTGTCAGACTAACTATTGCAAGTCTCTTATCAATTTTTGCTATAGACTCCCTTAATACCTGGATTTTGACAGCAAAATTATTATTTAGTGACTCAAAAAGCAATGAGTGACCTTACATGAGCTCCACAATGTTTTTGTACAAGTTCCTAGAGTGAACACGAAGGCAGCTGGTAACTCAATTACTGTCCTAATTAACATTTTGTATGATAAGCAAATAAGGATTTAGAAACCCATTAAATCGATAAAAATGGACTTGTCCATTATCTTTGAGGCTTTCATGGAAGTATTACAAAAGTGATAAATTCATTGTTCTGCAATCTGTATATTAAACGTTCTCATGCAAAAATTTTTCCACAAACCGGTTGGAGTTAAAAATCTCATATCTGGCCCAGCTGTTGTGGCTCACTGGTTGAGTGTCGACCTATGAACCAGGAGGTCACAGTTTGATTCCCAGTCAGGGCATGCCCCAGTGGGGGGTGTGCAGGAGGCAGCCAATCAATGATTCTCTCTAAACATTGATGTTCCTATTTCTCTCTCCCTCTCCCTTCCTCTCTTGAAATAAATAAAAATATATTTTTAAATTTCATATCTGTGTTTTCCTGTATTTCTTAAATTGAAGAAAGTTGAAACACTTATATACATAATGAGTAACATCCAATCAGAATTTTATCAAACTAGACTTTAATAAGTTTCTACATTAAACATAGAACTGTCAGTCTTGATTTCCCCAAACTGTAGTTAGTCTTTGGAATACCGACATCTGAATCACGTCTAACACACAGAAACAGCAGATTCCACACTTCAAATGTGTTCAATCTGAACTCAGCAGGAAGCTAGGGGGAAAGAGGGTTTTCATTTTTAACAGGGTTTGCAAAAGTGATTCATGGGCAAATTACATACTGAAAACACTAGTTTACACAAACAATACTGGCAGCCAACCTAGGACAGAATACAAAGTAAAAAATGTAAATCTTCTCCAATGGTAGTCTATGTTTCAGCTGCTCTATTAGAGAAGGCAATAAATATCTTTCACCAAAAGAAGTAAAAAAGTCAACTATGGCCCTGGCCGGATGGCTCAGTTGGTTGGAGCATCGTCCTGTACACCAAAGAGTTGCAGATTCAATTCCCAGTCAGGGCACATACCTATGTTGAGGGCTCAATCCCCAGTCAGGACACATACTGGAGGCCACCAATCAATGTTTCTCTCTCACATAGATGTTTGTCTCTCTCTCCCCCCTTCCTCCCCCTCTAATATCAATAAAATTATATCCTAGGGTGAGGATTAGAAAAAAAAATTTTTTAATCAACTATGGTAATATAAATTGACCTGGGTCTAAAATATTATGAAAACACCTTCCATTTTCCACCCTCTGCCGAGGCTGTCTGCCCCTCCCTGGGCCATGGTGGCGACTCTCCTTCTGTGCTGGATGGGAGGACTAACATCAGGACATGAGTCTCAGTCATTACATGAGGTATACCAAGCTGGACTGTTTTAAACAAAGATTTGTAATTTTTAAAAATTCTTTTCACATGTGGCATGCCTCTGTTGCCAAACATACTGTTTTTGAAAAATTAAATGGTGATAAAACTCTCAACAAGTGTGGAGCCCAGACTGAAAAGAGGGTTGGGGACTTCAGACCCAATAATATCTTTCAATGTCAACACGGTGACTCTCTGGTGTTGAATAACAGACCACCTACAAAGATTTTGAACTAACATTCAACTGAGACCAAATAAATGGCAGCTAACCAATTTTATGATCTATGCTAACTTTGGAAACAATAATTTTCATAGACAAAAAGAGCCTTGTTAAGGGCTGACAATCTACTCTAGGAAAACTCACAAGGCCTCTTCTGACAGCGTACTTACTGATAATAATAATAATACAGATTGAGTTCCAAGCTTCCCGGCTGAATGATGAATCGCTCCTTTGAGAATACAACAGAGGTCGAGATTGAATAAAAGAAACTATGTAACATAGTTACAGTATCTCTATTTCAGAATTAGTATGAAATTAATTTTATCACTGCTTATAGTAGGGAACTAGCATCACTTTCTTAGAAGACTAAGGGCTTTATTTGAAACTGTAATTATAAAGACAACCACTAGAACAAAAATATCAGAAAAACCCCATAGACCACATAATGAAACTTTTTTAAAAAAGGCACAAAAACCATATGGACCAGCTAACATCAAATATATCTGCCATACTGACAAAAGTAAATTTCCTAACCTTACCTATTAAAAGAAAATTAATCTCAGATTGGATTACAAAGGAAAAATAAATAAAATCTCTATGCTACAAAGAGGAGCACAACTTAAAACAAATTCTGAAAGGTTAAAAATAAAATAATAGCTGGAAAAAAAAATGCCCAGATAGATATACTAAGCAAATGCAAATACATAAAAAGAAATCATGGGACAAGACTTTATTATCAGGCAACATAGAATTCAGGACAAAAAGCATTAAGCAAGACAAAGAGAGGTATTTCATGATAAAAAGGGCACATAAGGATGAAAAACTTTCACCCCCATGTCCTTTGAAAATACTTTTAGATTTCTGAACCACTGGAATATACTACTTATTCAAAAATTAAAAATTTTCATGAAGAACAACAAGAGAAAGAGAAGGAAAGAACGCATTACAGGACTTATGCAGGAGCTCCCAGGAGCCCTTCATCCACTTTCCAGTACTTGAATGGGGAAGGCTACAAGTCCTGGGACCGAGTGATTGGCGCCACCCTGCCACCTTGTGGAACGTGAGAGGAAGATGAATCCAAGGAGGTGAGACAAACAAGGACCCCTAAATCCAACCACACCTGATTCTAGCCTACCCTCGAGCTTTTCTCTTACCTGAGCCAATATGTTCATTTTTACCTTTAAAATATTCAATGAATACTCACTAGAAAGAACTTTTTTTTTAAAAGGGGTCTTTATCGGGGGAAAAAATGAGACATATGTAACACTTTAAACAATAAAGAAAAAAGGGGGGGGGGCGCGCCTTTTGATGTCCAAAGAAAAAAGTGGATATAATCTAATCACACAGACAGCTTCTTAGAAACATGGCAATCTCTCTGAAGTCCACGTGGCCAACAGTGAACCAGGATGAGGAAAACCCAAAGTCTGATTCCAGCTAAAGAATCTGCTTCAGACCAAACCAACAGGCAGGTAGACTATCGGACAGAGATTCTGGAGACCAGGAGGAATCCTCTCTCAACCCTCTCCATCAAGCAGACTGAAGGGGCCTTAGCCAAGCTACCGCTGGGGATGAGGAATTAAAAGCAAAAGTAGGACCAGGCCCCTGCAGGATTAAAAAGAGCTGAGGTAAAGAAACACAGCAGGACCTACCCCTGGAGGACAGGCCTTTTGGGGAGCAAGAGTGAAGACTGATAATTTCCTCACTCACTGTGTGAACTCCATGAGGCCTCAGAGGCCTAAGGCCCAGGAAGTAAGCAGGCATGCATGATGGTTGCGTTGTTTAAAAGACTAAAAGAGATGGGAGGTATTATCTTGATATAAAAATTCTGTACTACATCTACACAATGGAATACTACGCTGCTATAGAAAAGAAGAAATTCTTACCATTTGCAACAGCATGGATGGAACTGGAGAGCATTATGCTAAGCGAAATAAGTCAGTCAGAGAAAGATGAATATCACATGACCTCATTCATTTGTAGAATATAAAGAACAACATAAACTGATGAACAAAAATAGAACCAGAGTCATAGAAGCATCGAACAGACTGTCCAACCTATGAGAGAAGGCGGGAGGTGAGGGGATAAGAGATCAACCAAAGGACTGGTATGCATGCATATGAGCATAACCAATGCACACAGACAGTAGGGGATGAGGGCATGTGCTGGGGGGTGGGGGCGGCCTGGGAAAGGTCAATGGGGGATAAAGGAGACTTATGTAATACTTTAAACAATAAAGAATTTTTTTAAAACTCTGTACTAGGTAAATTCGTGTCTTTCTAAACCTTTCTCTAGCTTTTTCTAAACTTTTGGGTTTACTTTTTTTTTTTCCTCCAGTGGTTGTGACCTTTTTAAAGTAGAGCTCCATCAAAAACATTTCTAACCTGTCTTACAAACCTGACAGAAAAATACTTCTATCTGCAATGAGGTCAGGAAATCCAAGAGCACTCAAACCTGGGAAGCCAAAGGGAAAAGAAAATGTGAAGGGGAGGAAAGGGCAGCAGAAAGCCCAAGGACCTAAAGAGGCCACTCATGTCAGCCTGCAGGCATGACCTCCCAGCTCGACTTCCCTGATCCTGGGAATCTTCTCTGAGGATGAAGTCCCTTGCAACAATATTTTAAAACCTTCACCCTTTCTTAATGTTTCCGCCCATCACAGTCCTGGGTCTTTTTACCACCCATCTGCACATACCGTCCCCCAGCCCAGTGTGCACATTCTCATTTAACAAGTGGGCCAAGACTCACCTCCCGAAGACGCTTTCCCAGAAGGATGACCACAGCCTGTGCTTTCTGCTGGACACATGGGACTGCGGTTTGCAAAGCAAGATCTTTAGAAATAAAGCAACTCTGTTTTAAGCACACATGCTTTTTGTCAGAAACTTTACTGCCAGAGATAGAAACACAAACTATAATACGCATTATGAAGGAATGAAAATTTCATGACATATCAGCCAAAATGTCAACTATGCTATAAAACATTACTCCTTTCGAAATCCACAAGCAGAGGTGAAGGGAATGGCTACTTTCCTGTGTGTTTTTCCTGAGAGATCGTATGATGTAGTGGTTAAGAGCATATGCTTGAGAGCCAGGAAGTCTGGATCAAATCCCAGTTCTGCCGTTTACTAGCTGTATAATCCGGAGCTCAACATCTTTCTGCCTCAGTTTCCTAATATATAAAATCTGTATCAAAAGAATAGTAGAAGATTAAACAGTCAATAAATATAAAGTCCTTAGAATAGTGCCTAATACATAGTGTTAGCTATTGCTGTTGTTGTTGTTATTATTATTATTACTGCTACGGTAGCATGAGAAATAAGAGTAGTCATGTGTTCAAAGAAAAAGGGAAAAGGGGGGGAAAGCTTCAGAATAAAAGTAACTGGGTGGGATGAGCACAAATAAACAATATGTCAGCAATAATGAATATTCTCAGTAGCTACCAATGTCTCCAACAGCACCTTTTTCACTCCAGAGTAACAAAGGATGAAGTTGGGGAAAATCTAATGAGTGATTTCAGAAGCCACAGCTCCTCCCCAAAATCCTACATTACCTACTTCTCATGCCTGAAATGACTTTAAATAGACACAAAGCATTTTCATTTCTCAAGGAGATACTCAAAGGTTACTTAACTAGCAGTCTTCAAAGATGAGAAAACAAAGAAATAGAAAGGCTAATACTATATACTAAGGAGAAAAATGAACTTCAACCCTACTCTCACACTAGGCCCCCAAATTAAATCAAAATATTTATCAGGGTTAAAAGTAAAAGCTAAAACTATAAAATTTCTAGAAGAAAACATAAGAAAAAATCTTCATGACCTTGAATCAGGCAGAGATGTATTAAGACACAAAAAGCACTAACCATAAAAGAAGAAATTGATAAATTTGACTTCCATCAAAATTAAAGCCTTCTGTCCTTCCAAAGGTCATCAAGAATATTAAAAAGTCAAGCCACAGAGTGGAAGAAAAATTCACAATACATATATCTGACAGTGGATTTTTATTCAGAATCTAGGAAGAATTCTTACAGCTCAATTACCACACAAGCAACCCAATTTTTTTAAATGGGCAAAAGAAGATATAGGAATAACCAATAAGCACATGAAACATCACTGGTTATCAAAAAAAAAAGCAAGTTAAAACCAAAACAAGACACCACTTCACACTCACTATAATGGCTAAAATTTAAAAGACTGGCAATAATACTAAAAATTAGCAAAGATGTGGAGCAACTACAACTCTCCTATCCTGCTGGTGGGAGTATATAATTGAAGCACTGCTTTGGAAAAACCTAGTTTGGCCCATTCTTACAGTTAAATATATACTTACTTACCTATTCAGCTCAGAAACCCACTCCTATTTACCCAAAATAAAAACATATGTCCATAAAAAGCCTAGTACACAAATGCTCTTAGCACCGTTACTGGAAATAGCCAAAACCCCAATGTTCAGCAAGTGGAGGGAAGAACAAATTTTGGTATACTCATACAATGTGATTCTACTGAACAACAGAAAGGAACAAACTACTGATATACTCAACAACGCGGGTGAACCTCACAGGCACTATGCTGAAAGAGCTGGACACCACCAAAGGGTACATACTGTAATGAGTCAATGCATGTGCAATCTAAAAGAGTCTAAAATATCCTATAGTGAGAAATCAGATCAGTATTTGCTTGAAGTAGGCGATGGAGGGGAGGCTAAAATGACTGCAAAGAGGTACAGGGAACTTTCTTGGAAGATGGAAATGTTCTTCATAATTAGGGGAGATGGTTATATGGATGTATGTTTGTTAAAATTAACTGACTCACCCACAGAAAATGTGTAAATTTTATTGCATACTGAAAATCATACTTAAGTTAATGAAAAACAAAGCTTTTAGTATTTGCCATATAATTTATAGCTGAAATTTTTCTATTAAAAAGAAATCTGAACAATTAGACTAACAAATTCCTATGCAAATGAGTATTCCAAACACATTTAGGGGAGTAAGATTTTATTCCAGTATTTTATTAGCAAAAAAAAAAAATAGTGCAGAGAAGTACTTCATTTGAAGAAAAATATTTAACTTCAAAAAGTACATTCCATATTTACATGCTTTGAGATGATCATAGTTTAAATGTCATTTTATATATATGATACAATCATCCTAACATAAGGTAAATTTTTAAAAATAATTTATGCTTCCTGTAGATGAAAATTTTTCTATTGCACAACCACAAATTACCAAACATTATATTTGTCTTTGAGAAAAAAACAAAAGAAACCATTCTTTTGAGAATGCCAAAGACTTATGTACATAAAGAGGACAATCGGCATTAAAATATTCTCAGATCAATAGAAATGCATCTGAAACATCTTTCTCATGCATGATTAAAAGCATTTTCTTGACAACACAAAATCAAAACCATTACACTCAGATCATATGCGTTTTGAGTTCATTAACAAACTCATGCCTGCCTCAGACAACCTAAAAGAACTACTCTTTCTAATGTTTTTCTCTATAAATACTAACTTTAATATTATCCCAAAAAAGAGCTCCTTCAAAAAAATAAAATCAACAAATTGAATATCTGGAATTCATAAGTACAATGAATAAAAATTAATACACGAATAACAAAAAATAATAATTTCTCCTATCCAGCTAACTGGTATTTCCTTCTTAATTCAAGTCAACAAATCTTCACTGTTCAAGTAGTGGAGGGACAAATGGAAAAAAAGAAAGAAAGAAACTGAATTGTATTGAAATGGGTTGAATTATATCCTCCTAAAATTCATAAGTGGAACTCCTAACCTCCAGTCCATTAGAATGTGACCATATTTGGAGATAGAGCCTTTACAATGGTAATCAAGTTAAAGTGGGTGATTGGGGTGAGTCTTAGTCCAATATGACTAGAGTCCTTATAAAAAAGATAAAATCTGGACACATGGGCACACACACAGAAGATGGCATGAAGAGATATAGGAAGATGATGGCTATCTATGAGTCAAGGAGAGAGGCCTGGACTAGAGCCTTTCCCCACAGCCCTTAAAAGGAACCAATTCTGCTGACATCTTAATTTTGGATTTTAGTCTCCAGAACAGTGAAACAACAAGTATGTGTTTGTTAAGCCACCCCATCTATGGTACTTTGTTACTGCAGTCCCAGCAAACTAATGCACTGTATACTAAAAGGTTTAATAGCTATTTGGAGAAGCTTATAACAAATCACTAGAATACCAGGAGGATTAGTATGCTGAGGTAGTGTCTAACCATTTAAGAGTGTAAACATTCTGATCGTGGCTGACTTTAAACTACCAAGGCTTTAGCAACCTGAAAGAAAATTTCATCCTCACAAGCCACTACAAGCCAGCTCTAGCACAGAACTAAAATGCAGGCATCAGTACTCGCTATCCACAGGTGATCCCAACGTACAGCCAAGGTTAGAGCCACAACTAAAACTGGCAGGGCAGCTTCACAAAAGTAGTGATTGTTGAGATATACAATATTTTAACATTCAGATGTGGGAAAGGCACACTGCACATGTAAAAATAGGTTAAGAATGATGGGGAAAGAAATGATGAATAAACACTAAGACCTAACATTTACTGAGCACTTAATATGTTCCAAGCACTGTTCTAAGCCTATTACATGTATTAACTAATTTAAGCCTCACTATAACTCCCTGAGACAGTTCTGTTATTATAAACATCTTTTTGAATAAGTAAACTGAGCCACAGAGAAGTTAAGATCCACAGCTATTAAGCGAGGAAGCTGGGATTCTACACAGGCTGTCTGGCCCCAGACTCTGTGCTCAGACCACTGTTCTGTGCCTCTCCTATCATGCATGGCATCTCTACAGCACATGGCAACTGATCTGGTGTAGCTAGAGCCAGGAGTGAGGGGCAAGAGACTGGGTGGGAGAAAGTGTGCCATACTTCTGGCCTCAGGTATGTTACCTTACACAATGACTGGGTTTGCAAATCAAATTTTTATAAAATGGGTTATTTTAAATGTTTTTAATAACTTGTTCTTTAAACACATCAAATTAAATCAGAATTGACAATACCTAGAAGTGTCTAAGTAAAAAATCACTGTAAAACAAAATCACCACTTCCTTATCTTGTGTCTAAATTCTGATTTTTATATGGTAAGAACAGCTTATCAGGCAAAAAGCACCTGTAATCGCTTAACGGCAATCAGCATGGCCTAGAACAGGGGTGGGCAACCTTTTTGTGAGTGCGTGCCAAAACCAGCAAAATCTCTGATTCAAAGTTCTTCTGCGTGCCAACCCTAATTTTTTGAGAACATGTTACGCCTACTTGATATCTCTTAAGGTGTACGTATGTGAAGAACCTTGAAGAAATAATAAAATTCATTCGAGCGACAAAAACACAGTATGTGATGATGAAAAATACATTTATTTTTTCATGTATACATGTTATGTAAAATTATTTATTTATCTAAGATGCACCTACACTGAATTTATCTGAAAAATAAAAAAGTCGATATTAAGAAAAAAATTGCAAATGGAAGATTGATTATAAGAGAGGGTTTCGCATGCCAGCAAAAGTTACTGGCGTGCCATGTTTGGCACGCGTGCCCGGGGTTGCCCACTTCTGGCCTAGAACCTCTAAGAACAAAAGCAGAAAATTTATCTAGACACCCTGAGCCACAGAGAGAACTCTGGAAGATGAAGCTGCACTCGTTACACACCTGGAGACAGGCAGTAAGTTTTCCACTCCTGAGGTTAGAAGAAAGACATCCAATGAACACCTCACATTACCATAGCCCCAGGGAACTACTGAATTTCAGCACTGTTTTCTACACAGAGCCAATATTTAACTT